TGCATGCGCACTTTGAATCAATAATTTCAACTAGCTCCAAAATCTTTATCATAGCACTAAACCAAAAAAAAAAGTTCGTATGTTTTAGAAATAGCAAGAAATCAAGATTCGAGCAAATAGTGAGTGAACCACCAATATTGCAGAAATTATAAAATATTGCCTAAGAAAATGGGAATAGCAGTGTTAGTCTTAAGGCCATGTGTTAGATAAAAAATGAAGATAGAATCTATGACGAGCATAAATCCAAAGGGGAGAGTCTATCCCAAAAGACTACCTTGTTGGGTGGGAGAGCCTCTTACACTTATAAACCCCACAATATTTGTGAGGCTCTCCGATGTGGGACTCGTGACAATACCACCCCGTCAAGAGCCGATGTCCTCGGTGGCTTCACTCCACGGCACTTCACTCGGCCTTCTGCCGATCAGAACCCTCCGTGGGTAGCCCTTTTCGTGACACCGGACTCTCAATGAAAGCACCAATGTGACGAGCACAAGCCCAAAGGGAAGAGCCCATCCTAAAAGACTAGCCTGTTGGGTGGGAGAGCCCCTCACACTTATAAACCCCACAATACTTATGAGGCTCCCCGATGTGAGACTTGTGACAGAATCAAAATGCGCCTGAAGGAAATAATGCTCAAAACTACGTAAAAGGATAGAAGAAAGGGCAACAATCTTGAATTTGAACGGCAGCGCGAGAATAAAAAACAAATAGAATAACCCAAAAATCAAACTATTTTGGTAAGATTATACCATTAATCTACTTTGGGGATTCAAGCTCTTGAAGAAAACCCTAAAATTATCATATTAGCTAATCATGCAGTGGATAGTGAAGCCATTTTCTAAAATTTCTTCACGATTTTACTTTGTAAGTTCTAGGAAGCTACCAGATCCAATGATCTAGACAACAAATGCAAACACATCCTCATCTCTAAGAAGAACACCAACCTGAGAGAAGACAAGTGGCACTAAGAGCGAGAAGCACCAATAAAGCTGACAGCATTAGCATAAATGAAAGAGGTGAGGAGAAGAGGAGGAGATGAGAGGCGACGGCATGAGCATTGTGGGAGAGGGAAGAAGGGTACAGTGCCAAGAATAGGAGAAGCGAAAGGAATTGTGCCAAGCTCAAAAGAAAAGGGGGGCTTGAGATCACCATCAAATCGAGAGGCAAATATTAAAAATTTAATCTAACCCATTCACGTCTATTTTATTTAGAAGAGATGTAGATTTGCATTTCCACCTCATGTGTTTTTAAAAGTGACGACATTAGTTAAAAATTTTTTAAAAAATAAAAAAAAGTTGGCGTAAACTTTTCACGTCATTTCATTAAAAAGTGACGTAGCTTTTTCTATTTAAATCAGTTTCTATAAAGGCGGCGTGCATTATTTAATTTTTATGTCATTTTTACGAAAAAACGACGTAAGTAAGTTTGCTTGTTTAACAGTTATTTACAAAACTACCACCGAGCATTTATTTCACCTCGCTTCTCCAAACAATGACGTAAATTGGCGAGTAGTAGTGTATTTATGATTTTTAAAAATAAAAAGGTGTATTTGTGATATTTTTTTTAAAAAAATTATAAAAAATAAAAATCTTCACTATTTTGGGACATCAAGATTTCAAAATTTCTCTTATTTTATATAGAAACTAATGATCTAAAGAAAAATAAAAAATAAAATTAAGAAGTTGAGGCATTGTAAGGGCATTAGAGAAGGGGACATTAGAAACCCCTAGCTCTACGCCTTAGTGTTAGAAATAAGAACGTGTTTGATTTTCTATCAATGTTGGAACAAATGTAAAAACCAAATTGTAAAGTCTTCCTTACTAAACCACGTGTAACTCTAAATCATGGCAATTTAGAGTTTAACTCTTAAAGGATTATCAAATTATAAAATTTCATAAAAAAAAAGGATTTAAGTTTTGCAAAGAATCCCAATTTCAACAATTTACATCTCAAACATTATTTAGTAAGTTTATATCAGAGTTTTAAAAGTAATGCGAAAGCTTGAAAATCAATTGGGATCCAAAACAATGAGTTTTAAAACTCAAAAACAGATTTTGTATAAAACATGACACGTGTGCCATGGCTTATGGCATTGCGCCATAGTATACTATGCGCTGTGGTGTGAGACATCATGCGCCGCGACGCATTACACGAATTTGATAACACAGGGAGCAAACTTTCAATGTGTCTCAAATCTCCATCCAACGTCCGATTGAGATGGTTTCAGTGTCTACACGGAGCTTTCTCCTAGCTCTAGTTAATGATATTGGTTTCACACTCAAACTCATTTTTCATAAGAAGTTAGACACCAAAACCCTTTTTGTCTACTTTTTTTACAAAATTTCACAAATGGGTGCCCCAACTTAGCTACTTATGCCAGTAGCTCACACCAACCATCCGACCACACTTAATGGACTCTTACAGACCCATGTAACACACTACAAATAAATAAAAATACTCATATCATAAATCACCACTTAACCCTAATTTTCACAAAACATTTAAGGGGAGAATGTTCCACAAAACCATCAATTTCATTTCAAATATTTCAAAATACATATGTTTCTACTTGCACAAATATTTTGACCCTATCCACAGGTTTACAACTAAAACCCATTAACCTAGGGTACAAAATACATAAGTTATAAACAGAATCTTGCAAATAGTACATAAATCATGTCAAATGATCATAGTTGGCAATTACATCAATAAATACATATGAAAGTAACAAAAAGAGGCATAAAGAGGATTACTCCACAATCTTAAGCCTCTGTGTGTTTTCCCTGATTTGGATCCGATGAGCTATGTTCTGAAAATATTGAGAATTGAGAGGTGAGTATAACTACTCATTAACCAAGTTTCACCTAACCCCTACAGTTGCATATTAATTGTAAATAGATGCAATTAGGCAAAAATATAGATATCACATATAACACTCGGCCACGGTTCATAAAACTAACAACCATGTGACCGGGTTTACTACAACACATTTTATCATGATATTTCATAAAACATAACATGGGGTCAGAAAAATAACAAACATGTACCCTCAACATATGTCGAACCACAAAACTAATAACCATATGGTCAAACTTATATGCATGATCATATGCCAACCTTATATCCTCTTATTACCTCTGCATGAAACCAGTGGCTATCACATGGCTACGTCCTTCACGGACTAACCCAGTCTTTCACTTGTGAGGAGCTACCGAGCTAGGGTGAACTCACTCAATTATGTAATCCGCTTTCCCCTAATACTAACAATCATAGGGTGTCGTACCTCTAATCTAGCCTCCTCATGAACCGGTGGAGACTAGTTAGGTTAAGTCCCTCGTAGAATAAGTGAAACAGTCCTAAATCAATCATAGGATAAAGGCTACCTCCTGATTTCAATGGTCGATGCCAATGCTAGTTCTTAATTCCAATGGTCACTGCCAATACCATGTGAATTTTAACTAATTTACTCTCCCTAGGTGAACTCTCGCCAGTGATCATGCTATGCATATTTCTCACATAATATGTATTTTAAACAATAAATTTATGGCAAACAATCTCACATACTCATATTCAATCACTCCACACATTCAACATATTACATATCATTACTTTTGCAACAACATGCCACAAATAAATTTATAAATCACGAGTAGGTGGCATAATGTTTCTTTCCAAAACATTTCAAATCAAACTCCTTGCCTGTATGCATCATTGATTTAAATCATCAAACACATTTCACAAATACAATTAACATTCAACTATAAAAGTTAGGTTTTTTTCGGTTACCTCAAACCTTTAAGAGGTCAAAGGTTTACCTTGAATGGTGACAAAATGAACCACACTACAATCATATCACAAGAATATCATCATTGTCTCAATCTTGAAAATTTATCAACACATAACTCCGCACACTCTATTATATCAACCCATAGTCACTACCCATTTATACCCAATAGACTCATTAGGTTCCATTAATGTACATTATCATTAACAACACCTCAAACTATCATTAATGCACATAAACCTCTCCTAACTATCATATTTATGTTAATTTTTGGATATTAAATGCTCCCATAGATCAACCACTTCTAAAATCATCATTATGGTCTTTCAATATCTTAAATAACTCCCATTATACTCATTTTAATCAATGGAATCTGATCCATAAGCCTATAGACCGAAAGTCCATCTTTCAACTCAAACCTTACCCTAAATCATCATAAATGAGGGAGAGAAAGGAAGAATAATGCACCATAAACTTACCTTGGGTGTTTGGGAGCTTCAAAACCTCAATAATGAAATCTCATGCCGTGCTCTAGCAGAGCCTAAGTCGAGCTCTTCATTTTTCTCTCCTCCTCTTCTTCTATTTTCACACGCAAAACGTATATAATTTATTAGATTTTTGCCCGTGTGCCACGACGCACGCTGCCCTCTGCCACGGTGCATGGCATAGAGGAGCCTGTTGCATTCAAATTTGTCTTTGTGCATCGCAACGGACTGACCATGCGCAGTAGCATATGGCACAGATGATAATTCTTCACTTTTTCTTCCTCTTTCCTTACTCAAGTAGCCTCCCATCTATCCGGACCCACTTTTAAGGCTAAAATCACAACAATTTTGCCAAGTTAAGCTCCTCTAGCCACACATCTCATTGACTCACTAATCACCCTCATTAGGTTAATAAACCAGGATTAAATTTTCCCGGATGTTATAACAAACAAGAGAAGAAATGCATGTATCTATCATTGTTGAACAAGTTACCTGTGCAAGAGATACTATATTGCATGTAGCAGCCAAGCAAGAGAGCGAACGGATATTAGAGCAAATTGTTGATCACTTTCCTTAACTAATCACAAAAAGAAATATCAAAGGAGATACAGTTCTTCATGTTGCTGCCAGAACTATAACTCAGTGACCATCTTCAATCCTCCTCATTATTGAATCTTGTTATGATTTTGCATAAAAATGTCTATAAAGATAATAAGGAAGTACTTTGGAGGATGAGGAATAAACACGAGAACACGGCACTGCATGAGGCGGTAGTAACAAATATTGTTGACGTGGCAAGGCATTTGTTTGCAACAGATGAAGTTGTGGCCTATTTTCTAAACAAGGAAAGAAAATCACCCTTGCATTTGGTTCTTGAGAAGGGAAAAAATGAAGTTGCTGAATTTATGCTGCAAGCTCCATTCCTGAATAGAGAGAAGCACCAAGGATCCTCCCCGCTTCATGCTGTTATTCTGTCAGGGAGTACAGGTACTTCTGCAAAATTACAAATAACTACTTAATATATATTAGTAGAATACTATATTCTCATGACGAATTCAGGTACCTAATGATGCAAATAACAACTACTTGTAATGATATTAGCAGATATGATCTTCTGTTTCCTTTTCTTGGGTAGGGACATGAAAAATGATAAGAACAGATAGACAGATCAAAGGAAAATAAAAATGAAGATAACCTTCTCCTTCGAATTATTAATTATCTCAACTCAACAATCAGTTGATTGACAAAATAATTCTCCAAAGAAACAGTCAAAAGTGGCGTAGAGATGATAAAAGAAGTTTTCCATAATCTCAAGTATGTCTATTTCCAATTCAGCCATCATATTCAAAATGTCCAATTTTCCCCTCTCATTTTCTCATGTGCTAGCTCAAATTTTAATTTTAAATTGATGTCATATTTTATCTAATTGAATTTTCTTGCCCAATAATTTTACACAAAAAATCACTGCAGGCCAAAGGATAAAACATGTTTTTAACCCCTTGGTGGAAGGTTGGCTCAAAAATGATGAAACAACATCAGCATCAAGACCAGAAGCAAGCAAAGCAGTAACCCCCAAAAAGGTGTAAGGTTAATTTATCTGAACTTCACTAAGAAGTTGCCATCCCTAAATTTTCGACATCTTAGATCCCATTTGATACATAGAATGGAATGACATGAAAAAAAGAGAGGAATTAACAAAAATGATCTTTTTATCAGCAATGTCGTTAGTGCGACTTAATAAAAATAATAAACAAATATTTTTGTTAAATAATAATATCAGGATAGAAAAGATATTGTATACTTCAAATATTGTGCAATAGAATCCTTTTCCATTTCCACGAAGGATACCAAACAGGGCCTTAAAAGCTGCCTGCGTAAGAAGAATTTGAAAGGAGTGAACATGAAGCTTGAGCTTCAAAATGAGGAATAAACTTTTAGCAGTCTCATTTTTTTTCTTAACTTCACATGTTTTTCGATATTAGTTGATCTGCTGAATGAATTAGTGGAAAAGAGACCTAAGCTAATATACATGAGAGACCAAAGAGGAGGGATGCCCCTTCATTACGCAGCATCTATTGGTTATCTTGAAGGTGCATGCACAATTACAAGTGCAAGTCCCGAAAGCGCTCTAGAGAGGAATATAAAAGGTCATCTTCCCATTCACATTGCTAGCAAAAAATGCCATGTTAATATGGTCAAGGAACTTTTTCAACAACGATGGTTTGATTTTATGGATTTGCTCAACCAAAAAGGTCAAAATATTCTTCACATTGCAGCAAAGAGTGGAAAACATGAAGTGGTGAAGGTATATCTTAAGAGAAAAGAAACTTGAGAATCTCTTGAATAAGAAAGACAATAATGGAAATACCCCATTGCATTTAGCATCTAAATACTTGTACCCAAAGGTGTTGTTTGTTCTGACGCAACAGGAAAAACTGAATGTTAACTTCGTAAATAACAAAGGTATGACAACCTGTGATATTGTTCTCCAAAGAAAAAATATACCACCAACATTTCGAGAGGTATGTCATGATTCATCTCTGCCCTTATTTTTTATTCAATGAAGATAAAAATTATCTCTTTATTAGCGTAGGAAGGGTATATTACATTTTGCTGGCTTGTATTAAAATTAATTTAGACCATAGTTCAAAATGTGCCAGTCAACACTTTTGTATTTCTTGTCGTCACTTAACCACTTCCTAGTATTTTCCATCCAAAATTTAAACCATTAGATGACTATTAGAACAATGAAAAAATTCATTGTATATATGTATCATTTATATGTTAAACTAGCTTGTTGTTTATGAAAGTCATTATTGGGATTATGCAAGACATTATAGAAATGGCTTTAGAAGACTATAGAATCATTTAAAATATTATTGAAATAAGCTTCCACGATGAAACTCATCATATTAACATTAACATGACTATATATCTATATTAAAATTGGATTTAAAATACCAAATTAAAGGTAATTTAGTGTTAATTAAACAAACCACTAAATTAAGTTGAAGAGCATGTTTTGAGCCACAAGTAAAGAGATGGACTCTAACCAAAAGCATATATAGGCCAATTGTAACATAACTTTATATTAATAATAGAGATGATGCAAGGAAAATGATATAGATTTATGCTTTTTACATATTTTGTGCAGTACCTATCATTTGCTATCTTAAGGTCTGCTGGAGTACCCTTGAGTGAAAAGGGAAGAATAATCAAGCGTTTGCATGCAGAACAACCTCAGATTGAGTGGATTAAAGACCTTGTTAGCACTAGCTTACTTGTAGCAATATTGGTTGCGACTGTAACATTCACTGCTGGTTTTACCATGCTAGGTGGTGTCTATAGCTCTGATGACATAGACACAAAGAGAAGAGGCATGGCCACTTTGCTCAACAGAAAAATGTTCCAGCTTTTCACAATCTGTGATACAATATCTATGTATAGCTCTACAATAGGGTCTTTCATCCTCCTATAGGCTCAGCTAGGTGACTTTCATGTGGCATTTAATGCTACATACTTTGCTTTATATTTGGTGGGTTTAGCTATATTGACGATGTCAATTGCATTCATGGCTGCAGTACATCTAGTAGTGAGCAATCTTACTTGGCTCGTTGGCATTGTGATGGTTATTGGAACCATCTTCCTTTTGATGTTTTTGGATGTATACATTCTTCTAATATACCCTCTAGAAGCCCATCCTCGGTTCTTCTGTCACATTTCTTACTTCATCTTTAGGATGATCATCCCAATTTCGGGGAGCTCTGGTAGATTAATTGGGAATGATAAGGCTAAGAAGATGAATGCATCAAAAGAAACAAACAAGGACAAGGACGGACAAATATGAGCCTTGACGAAGGACAGAGATGCTTGTATTACTTTCCAAATAAAAATGACAACCAAGAAAGAAAGGAGTGTACAAGTTTGGTTCTTATCTTGGAGATTATGCCTGGGACTAATTACCAATTTAAATTGGATCGATTTTTGATCATGAGTTGAGTAATTTGATTTGACCATTTTAATAAATATCTGCTACTTGATCAATTAATTCCATAGAAGGTTTTTGTAGTTTGGTTTGATTTTAATTTATAAATATGACATCAAGGTGTGCATAGTTTGATAAGTCACATGAATTGGTCGCAGTTTAATGAACTTACATTTCATCACAGTCCCTAATCTTAAATTGTGCTCCATTGGACATTCTCAATCCATTGTAGAACAGGATAGGCCAAGTTAGCTCATTTAATTGGTGTAGAACAGCTAATTCGTCCATAGCTTTCCATTAGTAGACTAAACAGGACATCCTACGGAGAATGTGCTTTCCCTATAATTTATTAATATAGTCCTAAACTAAGTAAAGTCACAATAAATATAATAAAATTATCTATCTACATCAAAAGCAATCTGATTGGAAGCCAACAAAAGTTAAGACGACTGTGCAAACGTTATAGAAACAGTGACGCATTTAATTTTGCCAATGTAATCTCACTCAAAACGGAAGATTATCAAAGCTTTTGTGTAATAGAACATCCAGTTCAACAGGCAACAAAAGAGCAACTATATAAAATTCATAATTTAATATATTACAATGCCTATAGAACCTAAAACGTTACGTAATAAAACCACTAGACCAGAAGAAAAACAAAATATATGAAAGGAGAAAGAAATTGGGGAACGACAACTTGAGTTTCTCATATAGGAATTTCATCAAGCAGTAGGAAGGCATTACATGCAATCTAGCTATTAAGGAGTAAGTTGAAGCTTCTTTCATGATGCAAAGCCAACTAAACAAGCACAAGAGCAGAAAATGTTGCTTTTAAAAGCAAATTTCTCGAGAGACAATTTTGTCAAAGAAAGGGATCGCATTTATGTAAAAATAATAACAATAATGATGATGATGATGATGATGAGTAATGACCAATTAGTAATGAGAATCAAACAAACACGGAATACGAGTGACAGAGAGAAGATAGAGTGAAAGCCAATCTGCTGGTGACTTTAATCTTTTGGTATTCGGTTTAAGAAACAGTATCAGAATGGCTAGTGAACCGCTTGTCAGGGGCTGGACCATTCAAGTTAGAATGCTAAAAGGATCGGTCTAATTAGGCCTGTATTGTGAGAGGGGAAGGGTTTTTAATAATTCTTTATTTGATTTATGTAATAACCCATTAATTTTAATAAAATTATAATTTAAGGTAAAATATTTTAAGTATATTATTATAAATTTTTGGGTAGATTTAATTAGATGTGTTGGTGATAAAAAATCTCAGAGCAAATATGGAGCTCCTTCTTTCTTAACTAGGACTTGAAGAAGATATTTTAGGGCCCAAGAGATTTTGATATTAAAATAAGTGATTTTGTTGTTGTTGGGACAATTTTGTCTTTTTGATTGATTTCTCTATTTCATTCCACATTTCTTTTTCAGCATTGTCCCTGCGATAAAAAATATAAAGTTCACAATATAAGTCATATTTCAAAAAAAATTGAATTGCTTATTAAATCTGTTAAAACAAAAATTACATTCCTTCCACCATTTTTCAAAAATCAAGGATAAAATAGAGAGAGCATCATTAATATACCGAAACATTAGTTGCAGTTTAGATCGAAGGAGTATTTTTTCCATTCTACTATGTTCATATATTAATATTCATTTTAATAGCTAAATGGGCCTTACATGTTTTGTGTGTTATGTTTTGTTTTTGGTAGGCTGTGATGTTTTGTACGTGGTAGTATCTTTTAAGCCTAACCCATTGAAGTATCGCCCAATTCTATCTTTTTTCCCATCAATTGTTCCTCATTTCTATTTCTATTATATTAAACAAAAACAAAAAGGAAATAAAAGAAAATAGAGGAATCAGAAACAGATCACGCATCATTTGCTTTCTCTCCTCCATTTCGATAGTTCTAGAGACAAGTGAGAGAGGAGAGTTTCGTATGTTCTTCCTCCATTCTTCCTCCTCGGTTCATTTTGACAAGCCACCGGTGACGTGTTCATGCATTCTCATCAGAGTTCGGGTTTGCGCGACCATCTTCCTCTTCCTTTGTTCTACCATCAATCCCTTTCTTTTTCTTTTCGATCTCGCTGACCAGATCTCTCCGGTGTTGCGTTGCTTTGGTGTGACTGTGGGAAGCTTCGTTCCTCTCCCTTCTTCCATCCTTTTGTTCTGATGGTGAGTGAATAGCATTCCTTTTCTCTCCTTTGTTCAATGATGTGTAAAAGTGTTCAGGTGAGAATTTTTTTTTGTTTTCTTTCCTTATTCAGATGTTGGATATGAATGCATGGGGAGGGGGTTTGGAGCAAACTAGAGATTTGGATTATTGCTTTCTGACCGTAGATGGGGATTTGGATTTTCTTTGAGTTCAAAACTAGCTTTTGCTAATAGAATAAAATTTAGGAAATTTGATTAATTTAAATATTGATATTGAAATTTTTCTTAAAGGAATTGGAGAGGAAGAAACTTAGTATTAAAGTTTGAATATTGATGCTTGTAAGGTGTTTGGTAAAATGCTTGATAGGAGAAAACTTTTGTTATTTGATTAATAATTAAACTATATAGAAGGTAATTACTTTTCACAAGAAAAATTGGAATTGGAACTAGAGATTTTGGAAAAGCACGATGAATTTAATTATGAATGTTCAGAAGTTAATTTTGTTGGGCAAGAGATTGATGATTAAAAAGTTTATTTGAGTGGTTTGGAAAATGATGCACTCAAGGTGTTTGACATATGGTGCAGAAGAAAGTCTTATTCCACTAGAATAAGTGATTATGACTAAGATTATATAGAGAAATCTTGGGATATAAATGCAAGTGCATTAGGGCACTTTGAATTATTCAAGTTGATTTTGATTATATTAGTGTTGAAGGGAAATTATTTTACTAATAGACAATCTATTAAAATTAATTATATATACATTTTGTTTTAGGATGTTGGGAGGAAGAGAAACGTAATAGGAGTTGAAATTAAAGGAGTGAGTTTTAGTACATGGAAATATTGTAGGTAAGTGGATAGTATCCCAACTAGTTTATCAATTATTTTTTCTTACTGAAATTTATTTTTTTACATAGATTATCTTAATAATAATTATGTTGATTAGTGGATACCTTATTAATTAAATTTCTTCATTTTTATGTTATAAGACAGTGGTGAAGAATATTTACATCATTGCATATGAATGTTTTACCCCTTATAAGATATTCTTTCAAGATTGATAAAAAATCATTTTTACTAGCATTGGTAATTTTTGATTATTCAATAAATGCAAGCATGAGTATTGGATATGAAATTTTATTCTGGCAAGTTTTAATGCTTAAAACTATTCATGCGAGTTTGACTTTGAAAATGAAAACTATATCTTGATAGTGATGATTTTCTCGCATGTTTGAAAATGGTTTTGAAGGGGATTTCATATAGAATACTAGTTGCTAACGGCAGTTCTATTAGCCCTTGGCACACGATGATCAATGACTAGCTAGTTTGATTTTCCTGAGCTTTGTTCTCATGTTTGTTATTCGTAGATCTCGTACTTGTGTTTGTTTTCCTCATGGCTTCAAGTTGTGTTCGATTATTTATCCTCATGGACTGTGTGTCCACATTTATTTTGTAGTTCAAGCTGTGTTTGGTTATTTACCTTTATAGACTATATGTTCACATTTGTCTTCGTGGCATAAGCCACATTTGGTTATTTACCTTTGTAGATTATGTATTTATGTTTGTGAATTATTATGATAAATCCCAAAAAGTATGAATTTTTAATTAATTGATTATTTCATACTCTAATTGTTTTAAATTGTAAATTTTATTTATTTATTTAATTTATTTATCTTGTCAAGATTAAATGTCAAAGTTGTTTTGTCATTGAAGATCTAAAGGCTCATGATATTGCAGTTGTATAGAAATTTTTTTATTCTAAATTTGCTAATTTTATTATATTGAATTGTTTTCTCTTTAACCTCCATAACTATTGCAAATTATTCATTCTTATTCTTTTAAATATTATGGTTGGAATGTTATTCGCTAAAAAGTATTTGGTTTGATCTCAAATAGTGTAATTGACATTGTACATCCTGCTAACCATTGAGGGACTCAATATTGTTGATTTGACTTGAAGATTTATTTATGAATCTCTCCTTTTTGGTGTAAACAATTTATTTTGCTTTATGGTTTGGGAACTTGAATTAGTAGCTTCACATTAACTATAGATAGAATTTTGATATGTTATTCATTTGTCTATCTGTTGTGGAAGAGTAGAGCTTCGCACTCCTAATTTGGATTGTATATGGCTATTTTGGAGAGTTCAGGAGGTCCTATTTTAGGGGAGATTTTTTTGAATTTATTTTACACAAAGTTTATGAATTGTTTGTTTATATGAAAATGTTACAATGATTTCTCATCCTATTTCAAATGAATTAAAATATTATATTAAAGTTTTCTTAATCGAGGCTTAAAGAATGTTTGTTTGGACATATATGTCGTGCCGGTCATGTCTAATTTTTGAAGCGTGACAATTTAGAAGGGGAGAAAAGGAAAGTAATAATTAATTTGCTGTCATACTCATGTATGTTAGCTTTTATAGTTTAGTTCTTTCTTATTTAAATAATATAATAATAACAATAATTTTAAACTCTTTTAAATATATAATAAAATAATATTAGGAGACTTGTTGCATTTCACTATAAAATAATTCACACTATGGTTTTTGATACCTACAGCCCCAAGTTAATACTATGAAGTTTTGGCCTTTAACAATCTTGTTTCCACAGGCTGTGGAAGATGATAAAAGGAGCTTGGCTATGTCATTGATAATAATATTGTGAGACAAGTTATTCTCTTGGATAATTGATTTACAATGATCTGCATCACGACACAATATTCCAATAGAGAAATAATCCAAATAGGTTCGAAAAAGACGATGCTTGACAAAAATAATATAATAGAGGTTCAGCAAAGACACAAGTTCAATGACAATGGAAAGATGCACTATGAGACAGGTTTAGCAATAATGAAAAAGCAAAGTAAAACATGATGACCATTGGCATTTATGAAATATTAGAAAATATATAAGGACAAATTCATTATAAATTTTGGCTCCCTTTCCAAAAAAAACCCCAATTTGAGAGGAGCCAAAATAAAGGGAGGGAAGAGGAAATTTTATCTCTCCTCCCCTCTAATTTTCCAACCGAATGAAGAGGAGGGCCTCCCCCTCTTTAATTTTCCCCAACCAAACATGCAGCTGATTCTTCACCCAATAAATTAAACAAATAATTTAATTAAAAAATAAAGAAAAATAATACAAATGATTTTTCCATGAGATTGCATTATATAAAAGCATTGAAAAGAAAAGAAAAGTTCTCAAAGCTCTCATCTTATGACGAGTTCTAATCACCCCATGAATGAAATTATCAATAAAATAAAAAAAAGTTGTTACAAGAGACAAGATGTCACTTTCAGATTAAAAAAAAATATATGCTGATTAGTTTGTGTATCAAATTTCAAATGATAATTTACATGTTAAGATTTTTTTTATATTCCATTCAATGAGTATAGGAATTTTTTTATACACACGACTTGATTTGTCACCTTTACTGTCGCCTTGTATAAATTTTTTTTTTAAAAAAAAAAAAGCAAAGAAAGGAACAAACGAATTAGAATCCAGAACCAAGACAATGAAGAACAAGTTAAAAACCTTCTGAAACAACTTCTACACATAGTTGTACCCAAAAAAAAAAAAAAAAACAATCTACACATAAATTTGAAGTCCACAGTTCAGTATCTGAATAACGCTATTTCTCCATCAACCCTACCAGAAAGAATTATCCTGATGTGGGGAATCCCATGGCTTATCCCCAAGAAAATTCTCATTCTGATTCAATGTAGAAGACATAATTATCGAGTTAGCTTCCTCATCAATGGACGATACTGATATAGAACTCTCTGATTCTGCATGAAAACCCGCGACGAAGGGTTTATTACATCTTTCATCGGAAAAATCAAGAAAACATTTCTTTGGGCTTGAAGAGGAGGACGAAGAAGACGACACAGATCCGGTTGCAGTAACAGTAGTACTGAAAACATAAACAGGTTCCCCTGAAATTGGTGCGAGAACAGAGAAGAGTTTTTGGTGATTATTCAAACAAGGTTTAGGCTCACTTTCAATAGAATAATTCTGAGGAAAATCATCAAAGCTTGAAAATGGTGTCAACAGAGGAGGGGATAATAAGTAGGTTTCTTGGCTCTGTGACTCTGAATCAGAATCAGTGACGATAGATTCCGGGGGTGGGCACCACCATGAAACTTGGTCTTCGTGATAAGAAGCAGCGGCCATGGCAGCTTTATAGAAGAACTCTGACATTTCGAATTCATCAATTGAAACTGTCTGTGACTGTGAGTGATTCATGTTGTGGGGGAAGAAACCGCTTCAAGATATTGAACCTAAGAAGAATCCATTACATATATATATATATATATATATGATTGATTTTTCTCTCAAAGCTTCATTGGACCGAGTCGCTTCATATTAGCAATCCTTTTAAGCCTTGTTTCGAAGAAATCAAAAGGCGGTCACTTGATTACATAAATCTTACACCAGATTTGCCCCCAAAATAATTAATCAGTTTCTAATCTTTCCTAAAATCATCAATTTGAAAAATAGAAATGGACAAGATTTTATTTTCCCAGAAAATATGATTAATTTTTATTACTGTTTTTATTCGCTGGAACATTTATTTCTCTTGTCAAATACCTGCATCTTTTTAAAGATTTCTATTTCAACGATAATATACTCTTTTCAATCTTTATTATAGGAGACTATTTAGAAAAATTTTGGAACTTCCGCAGATATAACCTATATTTATTATATTTTGCGTTATGATCAGTTTTTTACATTCATCAATGATATATTATCATATATCAATAATAAATTTTTTTGTAAAATTTTAAATTTTCAATCATAAATCCATTGTATATGAATGATAAACCTTTTATATATTAATATGAACTGGCCATTCTCCCAAAAATTATTTTATCCATATTTTTTGGGCACAAAATTTATTTTGGCCAATAGGCCAATTTATCAAAAAAATTTGTCTTTAATATAATTTTATTTAAAACTTATTAACTATAAGAGAGAATGAAATATAAATTAATTTTTTTTCAATAAAATTAATTTTTTTATTTTCAAGTAAAATTAATGATTAACGATTTAACCATTATTCCTAAGCTCCAGTAAGATAATGAGAAATGTCTTATAATAGAGATAAGAATGAGTAGTAAATAGTATGTAAAATCATATTTTTAAATTATAACTAGACGAGTCATTTATATGGTGGTCTAGGAATTAAAATAAGTCACACCATTTAT